GACCCTGTCAGATACGACTCCCCCGCCACTCCCCCCATGGTGGCCCACGGGCAAATGCCGGCCTGTGGGCTGATAAAAGACGTGGGCGAGGAGGTGGAGCTCTATTCCCCCGAGCCTCTGCAGCCAAATAGTGTAATCCCCCAGCTCATCAAGGAGGAGGCGGTGGTGGTGGTGGGCAAGTTTAATTATGCCCAATTTTTTTTTTCGGAGTTGTAAGGCATATAATTTTATCAGTTGAGTCCCTCTGAATCATGTTATGTATTTATTTTTTCCATTTTGTACTTAAAAAAAAAAAGAAAATAGCATTTTTATGACTGCCAACAATTGTTGCCCGTAGTCACACAGCTTGTCACTACGTCAAATGTCACTTAATAATAACATAGAAATAATAATAATAATATAGTAATAACAAAATAATAATGTAGTCACAATAAATAATAACAAAAAGGTTGAAGGGGGGTGGGCGTGTAAAACAAAAGAAAAATATGTAAAACTGTACATGGATACCGATGGATATTGTCATCCCAGGAAGGTCGCTAATGATCATGGTTCAAACATTGGTTCTACCTGTATTAAATTCAAAACAACAAACAATTTGAACTGGTTTCTTTGTTCATAAACAAGCTTTGCATCAGATGTACATCTCAGACCAAGTCTGTATGATACAAAAACAATCTCCAACAGGTTAAAACACAACAATGAAAGGTTTCAAACACTGAATTCAGGCTGCCAATCAAAAAACCACCAAACAAACATGGTAAATATTAAGACTTCAACAGCCTATTAAAGCCGTATAATGTGATAAAGTGCTAACAGTAGTGATCATATGAATAAGCTATTTGCAGCCAGAGACATGCAGTGCAGTATAAACTAGGTTTGCAGTTTTAAACAATCTGCTGTAGACAAGAACACCTGTTTGATTGGAGTAAATTAAATATTTTTTATGCTTCTGTCTCCTGTTTTTCATGGTGAAACGTTAGGTGGCTCTGTGGTCTTGTCCTGCTTCTTCCAGTGAATGTTTTGATTTAAAGGTCAGAGATTTATGGCTTTGGTATAAAAATTTTTTTTTTAAAATGTAAAAAGGAAGTGAAAAAACAAGGAGTAAAGTAGCACTGAGACACTATTCTTTCAGTTTTGTTGTTCGTCTTTCTAGTGCCGTTTGTGAAATTAGTCGTACATGCGACCTACCTGTGTGATAGAGGAAAAAAGGAGCATTTTATCTGCCTCCATAGTGCAGCTCAGTGAACATGGAGAGGAGCCCGGTGAAGACTTGCACAGAAAAGCTGTTTAAAGTTTTAGTCATCGGGGATGTAAAGGTTGGGAAAAGCAACATCATCCTGCGTTATGTTAAGAAACGGTTTGATGAGAACTACAAAGGAACTATTGGAATCGACTTTACCCTAAAAACGCTGGAATGGGATGCAAAGACTACGGTGAGACTGCAGCTTTGGGATATAGCAGGTGAGTGGTGAAATTATGTTCATATTAACACTATAGTCAGTCCCTGCAAAGCTAAAACACAGAAGGAAAGATGGAAATCTGACTTCATGGCATCTGTATTAACCATAGAAATGTGGAATTCCTCTTAAAAAAAAGTAAAAATCTGCAGTAAAACAAAACAAAGACTCAAATCTAAAACATGTACATAATGCATAAATAGTTTCTCCCTCGCTGTTGTCTTTAAGCATATCAATTTTTTTTAAACTAAACTAAAACAACACATTTATTCGCTTAAAATGTATTCAAATTCTGTCTATAAGTTCCAAGATGGAGCAGTGGTTAGCACTGTTGGCTTGCAGCAAGAAGGTCGCCGGTTCGCGTCCCGGTGAGGACACGTGGAGTCTCCATGTTCTCCCCGTGCAGCGTGGGTTCTCTCCGGGTTCTCCAGCTTCCTCCCACACAGTCCAAAAACATGTTGAGGTTAATTGGTGATTCTAAATTGTCCGTAGGTGTGAATGTGAGTGTGCTTGGTTGTCTGTCTCTAAGTGTAGCCCTGTGATAGACTGGTGACCTGTCCAGGGTGTCCCCTGTCTTCACCCTGAGTCAGCTGGGATAGACTCCAGCCCCCCATGACCCTAGTGAGGATTAAGCGATGTATAGATGATGGATGGATGGAGGTTGCATTCTGTGAAATTAATTCAGATCCAGAGAACTGTGTTTTCTGCCCTTATAGTTTCTTTTTACAATTTATTTTGAGAGTACAACACACACTTAAGATATAATAACCTCTCTGTGTGCTACATGGCGAGCCAGTCTGGCAATTTAAAGCCCTTTTTCCAAATTCTTATGCTGTGCAGCCGTCAGGAGTCTGGTGGGAGATGGTCCAAACTGCAAAAATGACCTTCCAACTCTAATAAATCCTGCTAAATATAACCACTGAATAAGTTTACAGCGTGTTTTCAGTGTCTGGAAACTGTAGGAAGTGAAACTGCAGCCTTTTTTCACTTATTGTTTCTCAGATCTCATTTTATTCTCCCACCAGTGTCCATGGAAACATACAGTTTCATACATACAGTTTTAGTCTGATTTGATGTGATAATTCAAATCACGCATTATAATAAACTTCCTGAGTGTTTGGGCCAACTTTAAATCCAAATCTGAAGAGGATTTGAATTTAAAGGAACAGATTTTTCATAAGAAAGATCTGCCAATCTATGAAACTTGAGTTCAGATTTGAACACGAGCTGCTGTAAAGAAATAAACACATGAACGGTTTTGTCTTCTCCCAAGGCCAGGACAGGTTTTGCAACATGTCCAGAGTGTTCTGCAAAGCTGCGATGGGAGCACTGGTGGTCCTGGACATCACAAACAGCTTAACCTTACAGTCTGCCGCTAGGTGGAAGCAGGACTTAGACAGCAAGGTGTGTCTGGACGATGGACGTCCGGTCCCTGCCATCCTGCTGGCCAACAAATGTGACCTGAAGGAGAGGGACAAAGACTTGGTGTCCTCGCTGGACAGATTTTGTAAAGACAACAACTTTGTGGGCTGGTTTGAGACGTCTGCAAAGGTGCGTTGTGTTACTGACATGCAAACATTTCTCAGGGCCTGTTTAGTGCCTTTGAAATCCTGCTTTCATTTTCTGTTTGGTTTGAATCAGCTGATGAATATTTGATTGTCAGACTGGATTTGTTTGTTGGCTTGTTTAAAGGATTTCATATTGTGGGTCATGTGCTGACTGTGTGAGTGAACTTTAACACTGCTTGTAAAAAGTGTGTTCAAACATTAACATGAGGTTAGAACGGCGAGCCACACACATATACTGTGTTCTAAATCATATTCCCTCCTCTCCGTTTACAGGAAGATATCAATATTAATGAGGCATGCGAGTTCCTTGTCAAACAAATGATGCTGCGCGACACCGGCCTGTCCAATGAAGAGCACCATTGGGACAGGATCAAAGTGGACCAGACTCCCGGGAAGAGTCAGAGCTCTCAGTCTAGGTGCTGCTCCAAACCTGCGAACTGAAGCAAAAGAGAAAGCTGCTGCTGCTGCTGCTGCTGCCAGAAACGTCCAACAAGAAGTCAAAAGTCACAGCAGAGGAACTGTGAAAGCCGGTGTCACATCTTCACTGGCTTCATATTCACATTTCTGCCCTTCCAGTTCTCCTCAGTAACGTGTGGGCTGATTCATAAGCACGTCTGTGGAGACAATCCAGCTCATTCCTCTGATGCAGCACCGATAATAAACAGATCAGCGTGGCACACGTCCTGCTGGGAAAAGCCTGCGACACTCCCTGTGCAACCGCTGATTGACCGGCTATAAAGAGAGGCCTAGAGACTGTGAATGTCGTCTTAAGCCACACGAACACAGAGAGGTAGAAGGAGAGGGGGGAGAGAAAATTCAACCCACACTGTAGAAATATTCCTCAATAAATCACAACCTATTCAGTTCAAGCTCCCAGTGTTACTTTGTGTGTTACGCAACCCGCGCATCTAATTATCTGTTAATCACTTTCGCAGTGAGATCAGCTCAGTGCCCCGTGCACGAGAGGCCCGGCTCGGATTGATACTAGCAGAGGGAAGCTATCAGCGTGACCTGATTCTGGTGCAGGGAAGAAATTTGTGAAGATGCCCAGAGAGGATTGAGTGTTCTATACTGGGAGCAGAGCGATGATGCTGTGTGTAGATAGACAACAAATATCAAGTATCTTCTGTTTTTCTGCAGCACGACTGTAGGCACAAAGTGAATTTAAAGTAGGAAAAAAAGGCACAATATTAGCCTGAAAACTTGTGGTGTAAATTACGTTGCATCACTTGCTCAATCAAATTAAACTTTATTGCACTTTTTTTTTGTTGAGTAACATTAACCCGCTCTAATTCCCTAGCAGGCTGTTTATTTCATCATTAGACTTTACTTTCTCACCTTTCCAGCCACATACCTAGTCATGTTGTCAAGTCTAACCCTGAGGAAAAGTGTAAGAGGTGTCCTTTAAAGTCAGTTTCTTCCTTTTGGAAATGTTTCATGTTAAAAGCTTCTTTTTTTTTCTGCTTTAATGAATCAGACACATCTGACCGAAAGATTAAAAAGCCTAATTTTTTGCAAGCGCATTTTGAATATCATTTGATGTTGATGAATCAATTTTATGTTTTACGCTTTTAAAAATAAAAACATAAGGTGCATGAACAAATTTTGCAGTTAGATTTTTGGAATAAACTTCACATTTCAAGCAAGATGAACTATCAAAAACTGGAATTAAAAGTGTCTTGGCTGCCTTAAAGAGATCAAGTGATTCAACAAAATGCTTTTATTTTGACGTTTGTACAGCTTAAGATATCGATTGTTAGGCACTGTATGTTGTCACAGCCACTGATGCAGCTCAAAAAACACAAGACAAAGCTTAACATCATCTGTCAGTTAGCTGAGAAAGTGAAAATGTCATATATGGTAGACTCATTAAATGTAAAGTGAAATATTTCAACCCTTTTTTTTTGTTTTAATTTTGATGATTATGGCTTGTTGCTCATATAAATAAGAAATCCATTATCTCAAAATATTAGAATATTTTCTTTCACAATACAGAAATGTCAAACTTCTGAAAATAATGTTAATAATTTATACACTCAGTTGTGGCTCCTCCAAATTACTGCAAGGCTTGACACACTTCCCTTTAGTTGCAATAATAAAGAATATATAAAGAGATAATAAAGGAAGAACCTCCAGAATGATCAACAGCTTCATTCCACAAGCTGTCAGAACGCTGAACTGCTGATCTAGATATGCAAACCCTTTAAAGTGCTTTAAGTTATTGGATCCTAAAGAAATGCTCATTCATCTTGCCTGTACTACTGTGTATGTACAGCAAAATGACAGTAAACTTGATTTGATTTGATTGATTTGATTTGATTTTCATTTGAATATATGACAGTTTACTTTTATTGGAGTAAATTATGAAAAAAAGGAAGTTTTTCCTGATATTGTTTTCTGATGCACTGGTAGGATGTAGGGCTGCAGGATGGCGCAGTTGGTAGCACTGTTGCCTCGCAGCAAGAAGGTTGCCGGTTTGCATCCTAGTGGGGGCACCGAAATCTTTCTGCGTGGAGTTTGCATGTTCTCCCCGTGCAGCGTGGGTTCTCTCCGGGTTCTCCGGCTTCCTCCCACACAGTCCAAAAACATGTTGAGGTTAATTGGTGATTCTAAATTGTCTGTAGGTGTGAATGTGAGTGTGCTTGGTTGTCTGTCTCTAAGTGTAGCCCTGTGATAGACTGGTGACCTGTCCAGGGTGTCTCCTGCCTTCACTCAAAGTCAGCTGGGATAGACTCCAGCCCCCCATGACCCTAGTGAGGATTAAGTGTTGTATAGATGATGGATGGATGGATGGTAGGATGTAGGTTTGCAAAACTTGAAATGTCTTTTTGGTACCACTGAGAGAATTTGTTGATGTGCTCAGCTTATTATTATTATAAGCTTAAGATGAAGATATATCTGAAAATAACTGACGGTTCATAGCCGATTTTGAGGCAGCAGGTTGCAAATTATTTGCAGGTATACCTGGCGTTTTTAGTTTTTACAGTGCATCATGTTACAGATATATGGGGAGACTGAAACCTTGTCCTTTATGTTCACTGACATATTGTGTGTTGCACCGGTTATTTTTGCACACCAATCTGTTCTTTGCTGTCCTGTAGTTTTACTTTTCGGTGCCCTTGCTGTGCAACAAGGGAACTGTTCTAGATCCCGCCGCTGGGTACCTCCACACAGTCGCTTTCTGTCCAAATTCAGCCTCTTCTCTCTAGGTGTGTCATGCAAATGGTTTTATTTAACCTTGGAATAATCTTCATGTGAGCTTCTAGCACTGCTTTGTTACGTCAGTATTTATACACTTGGGGGATTTTTACCAGTATTGATTCATCTGCAGATTGTTTAACATTCTGTCAATTACCACAAAAAAGCAAATAAAATCACAATTTTTCCAACAAATCTACATGCTGATCAAGTGAGTTGCAGTTTAAAAGCCAGGAAGGTAGTTTACCTCGTGTGTCGATGGTGCCTGAGGGGAAAGCGATGGAAGAAGTTAACACACAACTTGCTAATTATGGATTTATGTCCCAGATACTAGAAGACCTAAATTCAGGAGTCAAGCAGGGATGCTGGCCCCAATACTCCTCCACATCGGACACAAAAGCTCGGCTTCCTAACTTGTTGTTTATAAATACGGCAGTCTGAATGGGAGTGACACTCTCTGCAACGGATCCCATCACTGGTGCATTATTGATATTGGCCTATTTTATCTGCCCTCCAGTGTGCATTTTCTCTGGCAGCCTCGTTCATATATTCATGATTGCATGAAAATTTCAATTTAGTCAAACTTGTGATAAAGAGTAAAGCCGCGTACATGCCCCTGCTGTGCCTCTTTGCTGTCTTATTGTGCCTTGAGTGACCCATTTTAAGGTGGCCATTGTTAATTAAGTATTCCCAGACAGAGGGACCGGGCTGGCGTTCTACTGCGCAGACATTATGGATGTTAAACCCGTCTTTGATGAGTCTGTCTTGCATGAAAATAGCGACTCGGGAAGGTGTGAAAAACAACGTCAGAATGCGAATGAACCAAAATCATCGAAAAACAGACAACGTGGATCACATCCTGTATGATCAGTGCTCATGATGAGGAGCAGGGATCCATGTGTTGCTGTCCGTGGTGCTGAATTGTGGTTTTAAGGAGAGACCTCAGATGCAACAAAATGCTGCCAGATTGCAGGACGACTGAATGTTGGTACACTCTGCCACCTAGTGCACAAAATATGCAGGTGCAAGGACGGTTAAAATAAATATGGAATTTACAACAGAAAATATCATCTTATCTCCTTATGCATGTGGATGAAAAAGCTCTGGGGCAAACTTTGTTATAACTTCAACTTCAGTGGATGTTTCACTCTACTGCGACTGATTTAGAGTTATTCTCTACCCTGTATGTGTGTGTTTGCAGCAGCATTGTGAGTGAGTCCCAACAAGTAGTTTGAAGGTTGGAGTCACTGTGATTTATACTATATTTATGATGGTAACTATGCATGTAGGGCTGCAGGGTGGCGCAGTTGGTAGCACTGTTGCTTTGCAGCTAGAAGGTTGCCGGTTCGCGTCCTGGTGGGGGCACCGGAATCTTTCTGCGTGGAGTTTGCATGTTCTCCCCGTGCAGCGTGGGTTCTCTCTGGGTTCTCCGGCTTCCTCCCACACGGTCCAAAAACATGTTGAGGTTAATTGGTGATTCTAAATTGTCCGTAGGTGTGACTGTGAGTGTGCTTGGTTGTCTGTCTCTAAGTGTAGCCCTGTGATAGACTGGTTACCTGTCCAGGGTGTCCCCTGCCTTCACCCTAAGTCGGCTGGGATAGACTCCAGCGCCCCGCGACCCTAGTGAGGATTAAGCGGTGTATAGATGATGGATGGATGGACTATGCATGTATACTAATACACACAATTCACTTTTATGTTAATTTTTGACCAAAACACCAAGACAAATGAAGAGTTCATTTCCAAAACCAGGTAACAGATAACTTATTTTTTGTTGTTTGCTTGAGATAATATCAATCAAACTGAAGTTGAGTGGATTTGACTCAGTAGAAATGACAAAAATAGAGATAACTTAAGTTTGATTGATGTTGTCTCAGGTAGACGATGGAAAAGTGGAGAAGATGGACTTCTCTGTTCTTACAAATGAGCTCTTCAAATTCTTTGCATTTGAATGTTTTTTTTTTTCACCCTAAAAAAGTAAATCAAAAGACCTTTTCTTACAAATTAATTAGATGCATGTTACAAAAGAAAGTATTTCAATTTTTGACATAATGTGTGTGTTTGCAGCAACATCGTGAGTCTTAAAAAGCAGTGTGGGGGTTAGAGTCACTGTGTTTTTACACCCAAAATCTCACAGAAGCTGCCAAGATTTTGTCATTAACGTCTTTTAATAACTTTAAATAGAGGACAAAAGTCTCTGAGGGAGTCAATAAATGGAAATCTTTGGATGTTTTCTGTTTTTCATTTAAGCAAATTCAAAAAAATATCTTCTTTTGATTACAGTCAGCAGCACCTGGATATACATCATGATTGTGATGCTACAGCTAAAGGCTTTTCTGTTACATTTCTGCTAACATGCAAGTTTTTGCAACAGAATAAGAGTTCAAATATAATTATTCTTCATCTCAATTCGTCTCCCGGAGGCAAAATTAAAATATACATATATGATGGTGCACTCTAAAAGGTAATACCAGTGCTTACTTGAATCATATCAGTGTACTTTACTTATGTCTCATTGTCCTGTTGATTTAACTCATGGACTGTGAGTATGGACTCATTTTTTCCTTAAAGAGTTATAAAACTAAGTACACTTGAGTAAACTGGACTTGAAACGTTCTGTTTCTGGACTGAACACAGAGCTCAGCAGTGCACATGTAGCGAAGTGCAGGAGAAGTTTCCAGAAACTTTATGGGGCGGCTGTGACTCAGGTGGTACAGCTGGCTGGTCAGTGATCAGAAGGTTGGCGGTTCGACTCTGCCCTGTGACCTGTGTCATGGTCTTGGGTAAGACACTTCAGCCACCTTGCCTGGTGTGAAAGCGTATGAATGGATGATGTGAGGTGGTGGATGGAGGGGCAGAGTGTCAGTCTGTCCCAGGGCAGCTGTGGCTACAAGACTAGCTCACCAGAATGAAAGTGTGTGAATGAATAATTGACAGTGTAAAGGGTCTTTGAGTGTCTAGAAAATATATAAATCTGATCTATTGCTATTTTTAAGTTCACAAAATTAAGTAAATACAGCTACATTTTAAGTAAACTTTACAAGTAGATATGAAGTAAACTGAATTTAAGACTAATGGTTATATGTACGTGCCTTTTTTGAGTGCAACCAGTTTCCTAGATTTGTTTCAGTATGATCAATTTTTTCCATTTTACAGTGTAGCTGTGTGTATATATGTTAAATATCGCTTTTATGTAAATTTTTGACTGTTTTGTGCCATAATACCAAAACAAATCCTTTGTATTCAAATGGGTTTTTTTTCACTCTAAAAAAGTAAATCAAGGGACCTTTTCTTCCCACTTAAGTAAATGCACGGTACAAAAAAACCCAAACAATTTCTGACATAATATTGTTTGTAATTAAATCAACTTAATCTTGTGTGTAATTTAAACTCTCATTTCTACGTTAGTTGATTTAAAACTACATTCAAGTCGAGGTAACCTACAAAAAATTGGCTTTATAACTTAATGTAACATATTAAAATGGAAAATACCTTTGATTACAGAGGAAAGGCTAATTCCCCTCACTGTAGTTTGTCCATTGAACATAATTTTATTAGATGTTGTCATAACTGAAGATTGATGCACTGAAAAATAGGTATGGTCTGGGATCATTTTTATTTTCTTTTGCTGAAAAATTCAACGTACAGTACATGTAGATGTTGGGTAGACGTTATACAATATGTTCTATGTGTGGTACTGGACAACAAAAGGAGAAGGGATGTGATATAGTGACCATAATTAAATACTCAAAATTGCTTAACTCAGACAAATAAATAGACAATAAATCATTAATATGTGATTCCAAAACATTTTAAAGAATCTGGGGAACAAAGCAAAGTTTTTCTGCATCTCAGCAAATCATTAAAAATGTATTTTCCCTTAAAGATTTTTTAAATCTATGCAGCGCAACAGATCTCACAAAGCAAATAATGCACACTATTTTAATGTCATGTGCATGTACTGTAGGGATCAACAGCTTTCATCTTTTGCATATGACCGTTTCAGATGTATTATTTAAGGGGTTCTACTTAGTTCCCAAGTCAGTATAGAAATATGAGCCATTTAAAATATGGGCTGATGAAAAAAGACAGAAGACAGCCCACAAAGGTGATCACTTAACCATTTTTTGGGGCCTTTATTTTAACCAGGTTTTCTGGTTTTATGTTTGATTCTCTGTGGAGGTAAAATGACCTAATTTTCCCTCCTCTGGGAACCTGAGGAAGGAGGAAATACGGCCTATTTTTCAGGTGTTCACAATACTTTAGAAGGACTCCACACCCTGGTGTCACGTTTCTGTGACCTTTAATAAATTCTGCACGTGTTTCCATGATCACTGCAATAGTTGTTGACAGATTTTAATTCTTTGAGACTTTAATAGGTGCCACGTCGGCAGCTGTCACCTCTTGCCCAACCCTGAAGCATGACAGCTGCTTATGATCTTTCAGCCAGCAGGGGGCCACAGGACTATGTGAAAATGTGCATTTCAGGTTCCTCTCTTCCTCGTTTGCCCCAAATAAAGTGTTTAAGAGCAGATTTTATTCCAATTCTCAACAAGTGTTGGTGTTATGAGCATATATTTAGGGACCTAAGGTTGCTTTAACAAAATCAAACATGTTGAAGTTATTATATGAAATGCTTTTTGGACAGATTATATCTGCACTTTTATTTATGTATTATAATCTAATTTATTTAAATTTTTGAGTATTTTTCACAGTCAGATTTGTACTTGTTGTAAGCTATTAGTGGTGAGTTGGAGGGATTATCCATTAAAACAGAAAGGTGTCTAAAATTAGAAGCACTGGTATGATCTGTTTCACATGATCCTATTCGATGCATTTTCCCACTTGACAGAATGACCTGTTTTATTTTAGACATATTTCACAGTCCATTATGATATATGTGATACCCCACCTGATGGATACCTTACAGGAACGAGGTTAAACTTCACTGGTGCCTAATGTTGAAAAAACAGCTCTATTTTTTATTTTTTGTCCACAGTTATCTAAACACACAATGAATCTATAGCTGGGGTTTTAAAAAATATATGTTGTATGACATTTTTTGCTGTTGTTGTTTTTAGGTATTTGGGGGTGCTCTAACAAAATACAAAATAAGTCTTTTCAAAATAATTTATAAAATCTGCATTTCATATAAGAATACCAATATGAAGATTAATTTATTTTATATACATATTAGCAATTTTTACTGATAGAAAGAATGAAATCACTTAAAAGTGCCCCACTGGTGCCTAATATTTAAAA